AAAAAATGTAAAAAACAAGGATCTAACAATGACAGAACATAAAGAAAAAAGTGAAAGAATATCCTGAAAAGATTTAAATATCATAATGAATAAATACATATAAATAATGTATTAAAAATATTTAGATAATTTTACAAGTGTTTATATAATTTTTTCATGTAGGTGAATTTAAAAATATATTTTTGATGATAAAAAAATAAAATAGGAAATAGAAACTAATAAAAAAATACTTCATAAATTGAAACAAACAAACTATAAAGGCCAAAACCTCTCTTGAGACAGAGTAATTTGTGAAAATAAACTAAATTGAAAATTTTTTTGAATAAAGGGAGTTTTGAGAAAAGAGAAAAGATATTACAGCTGTTCTTATAGAAAATTTAGCCTTAACCCTAAACCTTAGCATGATTTTGCTATATATTGTCAGTCCACCTTAGCATGGTTTTGCTATATGTTGTCAGTCCACCTGAGCTACTAGTGTAACTAGATTGAAAATTTAAAAGAATAAAATTTAAAAAAATTTCATTTCTGAATTGATTTGCTACATTGTATATTCTTCTGCATTCGTCCAAATTACTCTTCTGTTTCCTTCCAAGGTGACGTAGCTTTAATTGTTATTTCGTTGACTATATATTAGCCCTCTGGATAACATAGCGGAGACTGTTTTAAATATTATAGAAGTTTAAGCTATTAATCAACTCATAGAGATAAGAATAAGATAAATGAGATAATACGGAAAAGTATGTGGGGTTATGTATTTTTATGTATTATTGACTTTGTGATTTGAATGAAATAAAGATAAGAGTAAGATAAATGAAACAATAAGGAAAAGCATGTGAGGTTATGTATTTTTATGTGCTATTGACTTTATGATTTGAATGACATTATCAGTATCATCAGAATGGCAAAGAAATTATACTAACTGGAAAAGAAGAAGATGGCAATCTCTATTACTGAGATGGCTTTGAAGCTGTGGGATGCGTGGAGTATTAGAGGATCCATTCTTATAAGCATATCTCTGCAGGCATTCTTAATTCTGCTGGTACCGCTACGGAAAGGAAGAATTGGGGGAAATTGGCTCATTTTTTCAATTTGGTCGGCGTACTTATTTGCGGACTGGGTGGCTATACATACAATCGGACTTATCTTCATCGGCAACAGTTCCTCGTTGGAGGGTACTCCTAAAGACATCATGGGATTTTGGGCGTCCTTTCTCTTGTTGCACCTTGGTGGCCCTGACAGCATTACCTCTTTTTCTGTAGAGGATAATGAGTTATGGAAAAGGCACTTCTTTTCGCTCGTCTTACAGGTTGGTTATACCATCTACATCTTCCTTAAATCTTTCTCAACCAACCAACTTTGGCTCCCAACCATCCTAGTGTTATTTGCTGGCATAGTCAAATATTTAGAGAGGAACGTTGCTTTTTATCTTGCGAGTTTTGAGCATTTCGGAGATAATTGGGAGCCAGAAACGGTACCCACTGCTGCTGCTGATGAGGAAACTGGTACTCCACAACGTCATGGCATTCCACTTCCACAACAATTCAGAGACATGGAAAGGGAGAAATCAATATTAGGAATTGCAGTTAAACTGTTTGGCAATTTGAAGAGGACACTTGTTGGCCCTCTTCTAGAGAAAGAGGAACAAGATGAAGTCACAAAAACGTTTTCCATGGTCAGAAATAATTTTACCAAAGGGCTTCAAGTAATTGAGATCGAGCTAAGCCTCTTGTATGAGGCTCTTCACACCAAGTTGCCCGTGATTACTACCACCGCAGGCTGCTATCTCCGTATGGCTACTTTCGGTTGCATCTTGTTAGCCTTGATCTCCTTCTCATTAGTTAAGAAGCACTACCAGTTGGCAGAGCCTGACCTCTTGCTAACCTATGTGTTGCTAATCGGTGGGTTGATGTTGGAAGTCCTATCTATCATAGTTCTCAACAAATTCTCTGATTGGTTTGCCATTGGTCTCTTCAGATATAAATCCCAGTCCTCCAACAGTCCCGAGTTGTTTGATACAATTATCAAAAGGCGCAGGTGGTCTAAAACAGTTCCTCAGCTAAATTTTTTTAGATATCATGTAAAAGATCCATTTTGGTTGAAAAATCTCCACAGTTTGCCTTACATAGGGAGTTTATTAGAAATCCTGCATAATTGGAGATGTCAGAAATTTCAAAATTTCCAAGACCTTCAGAAATTCCAAAATTTCCAAGACCTTCATTGGAAGTTCATTTTTTTGGAATTGTGCTATATAGCGCGCAGGGCTGCAGCAAACGTGGAGGGGAATAAATTACCGTTGCTCAACGATGTTTGGTTGTCTCCAGAAACACTTGAAAAACTTGTTCGTGAGGTTTGGCCTGGTGTTGCTCAGCAACAGTCGGATGTCAGCACTTTTTCCAATTCAGATTACACAGAACTTCTCATACTGTTTCATATAGCCACTGAGTTATGCTACCAAAAGGATGACCCAGTGATCAGGCCTGAGAGAACCGATTACAGGTCAATATGCAAGTTGCTTTCAGATTATATGTTTTACCTGGCAGTGATGCAGCCCACCATGATGTCCACTGTATTGAATGATTGGAGCAAAAAATTTAAAAAAACAACTAGACAGACTCAATCATTAGTACCCTGGAGTCTTTTCTTGGATGAAAAGACTGCCACAAAAGAAATCTTTGAGAAGGGAAAAGAAATCTCTGAGAAGGGAAAAGAAATCTCTGAGAAGGGAAAAGAAATCTCTGAGAAGGGAAAAGATCCCTTAAGTGGTGCAGTTAAGCTTGCCAGAGAGCTCATCAACTGGAAGGGCCCTTATCTTCGGAATTGGAGGCTTATGTGCAAAGTTTGGCTGGAATTAATGTGCTATGCTGCTATTAATTGCAAGTCATCTGTCCATGCAGAGCAACCAAGTAGGGGTGGAGAACTTCTCACTTTTGTTTGGTTGTTGATGAATCATCTAGGTCTTGGAACTAAACATTACCAAACGTTGGAAGATATAATCGATGAACTACCTGAAGAGGAGGACTAAGGTGAACAATCACAAGGGTTCAACCAAGACTAAGGGTCATTCATATATGTTGTCTCTGTTATCTTTCCTTTTGTACTTTGGAAATGTGTTCTCTGTTGTCTTTTATGTTTGCGGCATTTTCAAAAAATTTGGGGCCCTTCCATCATATTTTTAATTGGCTAAAGCAGGGAATAAGATCCGAACAATTTGCAATTAAGAGCCCAAAGTTTTATTGCCTCAATTAAAATCTAAAAGTTACTAAAATTCTCAAATGAGGTGTCAGAAACAATTAAGTCCGTTAAATTAGTTTTTAACGGTGTTAACTTTGATTAGTTAAATAACAAAAAATGGTCCCTCGATTTCCAAATTTCAATTCAATTATCCTAAAACTTTTAATAACTCTAAAATGTTCCCTTTCTTGATTGATGTGGCAATTCATGGGACCCACAAACTAATAAATTGTTTTAATCTATATCTACAGGTTAAGGGTATATTTATTTTTTTTATCATTAATTTTTATAAAAAAGTAAAAGTTAATTTTAATTTTATCAACCATCTAAATAAATTGTTTCTCATCGTGTTTGTGTTGAAAATAAATTAAAATTTACTTTCATAATTTTTTTATATAATTTAATAGTTAAAAAATATAATAAATGCATTTTTAACCTATATCACAGGTTAGAAAAAAAACATTTAACTTTTTTTTTTATTGAACTTTTGGTAAAAGTCAAAAATTTTCTTAGTAGTTATAATTAATCTTTTAAGGAAATCATTTAATGGTTAATTAATAAATTACTTCAATTTATTAGAATTAATTTTTAGTTTTGAGTCCCACAGATTGCTACATCAACAATAAAAAAGGAACATTTTAGGGCTATTAAAAGTTTTAGGGTAATTAAATATCAACTTTCAAAAACTAATTTAACAACTTAATAGTTTTCCTCCATTTGGGACATTATTTGAAAATTTTCGATGATTTTAAAACCTTTATTGATGAGTATAATAAAACTTTGAGAATTTAATTGCTAATTTTTGCAAGTTTGGGACGTTATTCTCTACTTTAGCCTTTTTTATTTAGTAGTTTATTGTATCATGTTCAGTTGCTTTTGCACTTGAAAGTTGAAACTTTTGTATTAACGGTTGGTTCTAAATTGGCCTGCTGGCTGAGGATTGGTTTAGAATGCTACAGTCATATAGGTGTTGGGTTCGAACGCTGCATGTAAAAGAAGGAATAATGATCTGATTTCTATGGAACTTCTTAACACTACTAAAAAGACCCCATATCACTTGGAATTAATCAACTCTATGGTGATAGTGAAAATAATATAGTTACAATATTATAGGATATTGCCAATTTATCATATGATATGTTGTTATTTAATTAATTTTTATATTTCAAAATTTATTTGTAATAATATATATTTATTCATTTAATAACATGTTTTAATTATAAATTTATAATTTTATAAGCTATTGCAACTATAGCTTTACTTATAATGATAGATGGTTTTGTTCTTAAAAACATTATCTTATATCAGTTCTCCTAATAATTAGCTGGCGGCTTTTATCTTGGAAATGTTATTTGATCATGCATTACATTTGTTACCGTAAAATCTGGCGTTTGGTGTAGTGCGTGCAACTTGCAAGACACGTACGCTATTATTGAGCTGCCCCAACCTTGAGTTTCGCTAAGTAGCTTGTCCAGCAATTTGTCCGGGCCAACATGATCCATGCTACGACTGCACAATCTCTAACAACTACTCACAGCATGACCAGGTAGGAAACGTTATTACATTAATCTATCCATTTCCTCAAATTCTAGTGTTAATGCTCGTTATCGAAGCGTGTTTGGGGTTCTTCAATATCTCACACTAGCTTGCTTGCCCTCCGCTATGTCTTATGCGCACTCATTTATATCTGTGTCAATTTATGAATGCTTCTAGAATTGAAAATTATCAAGCTAATCAGCAAGTGAAGTCAAATGAAAAGAATAGAGTTGAGCAATTCAAAACAGCAAAATGAAATGGAATTTCAAAAAAATCAATATATTGTACATAGTTGTTGGGAAATTTATGTCAATTAGCCATTGGAGAGACATCAAATGAAATCTCACAAATATTCAAACGCATCCATATTTTCATTGAAGACTTTATGTTAATTAGCCGTTGGAGACTTCTTTGCTATATCAAACTCAAACCTGCACAAAATGAGA